CAGTACTGTGGACTAGCAAGGTGTTCACAGGCATATGCTCTTCTATCTATATTATTTGGTATTCTCCCCTGTGATTCCTACTGGTTGACTGGAACTATATAAACTGGGATTGTAATGCAAATTGGCAGCCTCTCTCCACTTAATCTAGCTAGTGATTTTTTTGTTACCAGCCAGTTGTAGTTCTATCCGTCATGAGCTGACCTACCGGCAGCCTGCTTGGTGTTGTATAGGTTTGTAACACAGTCCCCACTAGGAAGATCTTAAGGGCTGCTTTTATCCACTCAAGATACTATGTTTTTAAAAACTGAAGCAGGCTGAGAGGCAGGGAAAGTTTTACGTTAGTCTTTATGCACTGTTGATAATTTTGGTTGGTTTGTTTGTTTGTTTTCTACCCAGTCACTTTTCAGACCTCTTCCTGTTTCTGCATTGAAAACTTTGTGTGCATCTTTACTATTCGAAGATTTGATGACTGGTGTAAAACTTTATAAATTGGATAGATTCCTGGGTTTGGGGTTTTGCGGGTTTTGGAGGCGAGTGTTTGGGGTTTTGTTGTTTGTGATAGCTATGCCTAATTTAGAGAAACTTCACTGTTGTTGGAGCTTTTGCTGTCCTAAATGTTGGTGTCTCAGACCTGGCTTATATTCCAAATGCTGCCGGAAGATACAAATTACCTTTTGTTCCTTGTCTAGCGTGTAGAGTGATTCCCTGAGCCCAGAATTAAGCAAAGTGCTCTTGACCCTGACAGTCATAGAAAGAATATGCATCATGGAGGTACTTTTCTTTTTTTCTTGCCTTTGTTCCCACCTCATCGTTCACTTTGAGAGAATCTAGAGTTAGACACCGAAGCCTTGTTCTCTCTCCAAGTCTAGTGCCTGCATGGGAAGATGTTTGCTGTGTTTCTGGTTTTGAAAGTCCAGTTGTTACAAATGACTGGTCAATGAAGGGAGTCTAAAGATGGGTAAAACTCATTTATTTATTTTTGTGCTATCTGGTGGCATTCAGAGAACAGAAAATCATACCAGAGAGATCAGTTTAATAAAAGAATATATGGTAACCTCTGTGAATTAAGAAATTTGATGGGAGGCTGACTAGTAAAACTACGGCTGGCCCTGTTCATTTAGCTGTGATTTTAGACTGGAGACCTAGCCAAATGGGACCTGCCAAGCAATATCATGTTTATTTAGGAGTGAATATAACAATGAGCAAAGCAGGGAGTGAGAGGCCAGGAGATGAACTCGAATCAAGATTAATTTGATTGTATTTTTAAGACGCTTGGGTATTAGGGGAGTTGGCAGATAAGGGACTATGGGTTGATGTGTTTTGCAGGCTGATCATTCTAAGTGAAAGTAGTTGTGTACACTTCAGCTGTGACTATCATGTTAGTAATGGCAACTTTTAAGCAGCGCACTTTAAACTCACATCTGTTCTCTGTCCTTGATAAAAGATAAAGTCAGAAGATACCCCCAGCATACACCAAGCCAGCGTGGCACTTCTGGACTTCAGTCTTCCTAAAGCTTGTAGCATTTGAATACTGAGTTGTAGTTTGCCCACCTCAAGTTTAAAACAAACAAAAAAACCAACCCTCTAGTCTGTCAAAGGGTGGCAGCACCACCGTGGCAGTGGCATAATTCACCTGCAGACAGGTACATTTCGAAAAATGCTGCCTGACAGCATTTTGTTTTATTATGTTCAGTGTAAAAAAATCCATTTCCTTTTTTTTTTTTAGTGGGTTGGAATTTCCCCCCCCCCCCAGCCTTTAGGGTGGTTGGGGGTGTCCTCTTTTTACTAGTGTTCTATAAAATGAAATTAATCACAGTGCCCTTGTGTGACTGCCTATTAAGCCAAAAAGCTTATATTTCTCATACCCTAGAAAAGTTTCTTGGAGGAGGGAAAAAATGACAATAGAGCTTTTTATCCCCAGTGACTGTAGTTGGTGGCTGGAACAGATAGGAAGTTACTTTAGTAAAGGAATTTCAGTCTTATTAAAAACAACCCTGCAAGGCCAGCAGGAAAACCTTCGAGTTCAAAAGTACACCTGAACAGTATAAAGCAAGTTTGCACCTTAAGCAGCCTGTGCCCTTGATGTAATCTTCCATGTTTGTTTCCCTTTTCATATTTCTTTTCTTATGTCTCCTATTTTAAACTTGAGACCAAACCTGCTGGCTACTTTTTTAATGCTCCGTGGCTGTGTCTGTAGCTGTGGCCTATTTCCATCAGCAGTCGCTGAACGGAAGGATGAAGCATCCAGGTGAGAGGGATGCAGGGAGGCGTTAACTGAAGCTGCATCCTTTGCCTCTGCCCAGGAAGGCGTGTGGCATGTGCAGAATTACTCAGCGCAGCAAAGGAGGCAATATCTGCCCCCCCCCCCAAGTACGTGGGTTTGGGCTAAAGAACAAACCAGTATGAGGAGAGTTGCCAGCAGGGAATCGTATTTGCACAGGAAAATGCAAAATAAATTTTGGTCTAGTCCAATTTTTAAAAGAAATTAAGAAGCCTTTCTGTACTCACCGTTGTAGTTCACTGCAAAAACAGGAGATGCGTCTTGGTATTTCTAAAAATAGGTGAGCACCTTTGTTTTTCTCAAAGCATGATTCCTCAGTCTGCTGTTATTTTTAGAGGGCATCCCTCTGCCAAGCTGGCACCTTTCTGAAGCTTGGTGGGTGGCAGCTTTCCCTCGTTATGCTGTCAGGGTTGACTGAGCCCTTCCGAAGAAAACTTGGCAACTCCTATGTAATTAAATTTGCAACCTCCAGCAATTCACAAATAAGCATCGTCACAGAGGATTTGTGTTTCTCTCCCCTGAATATCAGGGCGGATTGAGGAGCGTGCAGTGCCGGATCTGTCCCTGCGGACCTTACGCCCATGTGCTTATTTGGATTTTTGTCACCTTTGGGTTTATCAAATACTTTCAGCAGTCATTTGAAATTAGTCTTAGTTACCCTGCATTTAACACTTAGAGACTAGACACACAGCGTATGTGACTTCTCGGGTGGACACCACCCCTCAGCAGAGGAGCAGCATTTGCCTGTGTTGCCAATGAAGCATTTTGCTTTACTTGGTCTTCTAAGAGAAAGATTAAGTAAACACTTGTGTTTATTATCAATGCATTAGTCATACTTAGATATGCTAGTGACACAAATTGTGCCTTGAAAGTGGGAGTACGTAACCTCGAGACAATAATTTCAGTATTCTTGTATTAGGTCGAGTAATCTAATTAATATTTTAGAATACTTAAACGACATTAGCTCTAAAGTGCAAAGCCTCTAATGCTTTTTGGAAGGGACATTCCAGCTTTTGTTCATAATAAATTAGAAGTACAAACTTAACGTCTTCCTAGAAAAAAAATGTGGATCGCCTCACAATGTTAACTGCTTTTAGGATTTCAAGTAAGAAAAGATAAGTTGTGAAATTAACATTCCTGATCACTTGCCAATTTCAGATTCTTGTGCTATTTATAAGTCAGCCAGCTTCTGCTTTTTTACTTGTGGCAGGTTCCTCTGACAAGAACGTGGAGATTTTTTTCCTATTACCATTAAATTGAAAGATGAAGAAACTGCTTGCGCTTTTGTTTTTGTCTGCAGAAACAAAAAAAATTAAAAGGGGGGGGGGTGGGGAACCCACCAGAATAAGTTTGGTAATTTTCTGGGCAAGTCAATAAAGTTTCAAAGTATAATTTAGATTAATCTGTTATTTCCTCTTGATAGTGGGCTGGTTTTTTTACTTACAGTAAAAAAGAGGAAGTTCAGCATGTTTATATTTAAACCTGTGCTACAGGGTCAAGTCTCAAAGGAGTCTAGAAGTGTTAATAATGCAACCTGAACTTTAAGTTTCAGCTGCTAACATCACAGACTTCTTGGTTTAAAGATCAGTTAAAATCTGCTGCAGGCTTGTAGACCTTGATTACTTTGTGTCTGCCTGGGAAGTTTCCCTGCATAGGGAACTATAGAAATAGTTTCCCTGCAGCAGGCGGGGAAAACAGGAGCAACAGGGCAGAACTGGCTGTGGAGCAGGTCCTCAGGGCCCACGATGGGGGGGGCGTGGAAGCAGTCAACGCTCAGTTTTGGTGTCCTTCTCTTCCTTCTGTCTGTGCCGTCTGTCCTGGTGAGAAATCATTAGCCTGTATGGCTGTTGTCCATCAAAGGGGTCATACTAGCATCATGAGTAGGAACAGGAGAGGAGAGAGTATTGCGTGCTGCAGTCCAAAATGCAGAGTCCACTGCAAAATGTTGTCTGTCTGTAATCATTAAGCATTAAAGGTGTGCACCAGCCTCAGTCAGCAGAGCGTGAACGGTGAAATTCTCACTTCAGTGATCGTAAACAGGAGAGCCGGGACCAGCGCTGCCTGACGGGCTGTCCCTGCCTGCAGTTACTCAGCTGCCCGCAGCCTTACCCCCAGCACTGCCTGAGACTCCAGTGCACACAACGGCATTTTTGTTGGTTGCAGTAACAACAACAAAATAACTAATTTTTGTGAGCTTCTCTGCCTGTTTGAGGTTTTGGGCTTGGTTTTGTTCCGGTTGTTCCCCGCTCCGCCTACCCCCCCCTTCAGTGCAACCTTTATGCTTCCTAATTCCAGGATTGGGTTTTAGTCTTCCCCCAAAACTTGGGATTTTGACACCTTCAAAACGCAGTTTACAGCTTGCTTTTTGCCACAACTGGGTGTCTCAAATGCCAAGTACCCTGCAAACCAGATTCTAGCATTTCTTACCTCAGCACAGAATGGGAAACGATGACTATTTATCTCTAGTTCTGAAGTCCTCTTATTTTCATGGCTTGGGGCGAGGGGAATTTTTCAGTCACAAGAAAGCCACAAACCACTTCTGTGAGTAAAAGGAGACACTGAAAGAGGAGCAGAGGCATTAGGTGACACGGAATATTGTCACCGGTGTTAACAGAGCCAAAGATGTGGTTTACGTGATATTTCATGTGAATAAAAGCATTGGGGTCTTGCCTCTTTTCTTGTGCATTGATTGATTTGCTTTTTGTTCTTTGTTTTTCAGGTGGCTTCCTTAGCAGGGCCAGGAGGAAAAGTTGAAATAGAACAAAATTTTCTCAATAACAAACTGAAGACAATAACAGCTTATTTTGGTGATCTAATAAGGAATGACATCTGAACTCTGTGTGGATTCTTCCAAATCCAACCTCCCTGACTGCTGCTTTGCTTAAGCTTTTGTACAGCTGGCTGGTCAAAAATGACTTAAAGCCATTTTCCGCTTTAATTTCTGTTTACAGAAATTTGTTCTGTTTATTGCTACTGTCAATAAATGTTTTATAATAATTTTGATAAAATTGTAAATGTAGAGGAGCTGTGAATGTAGGAAAAAAAGTTCTTTATAAAATGCAGTCTCGCAAGGTTCAAGTCCAACCTGTTGAAAGGGAGTTCAGGATTTCTTTGCAACTCTCACATGTGCTGTTTCTGTTCGTGCTCCAGTTCTGAGCATTCAGAGGGTCAAAAAGAATAGCCTGAAAGCCATCGTGTGTCAAGAACTGCTGTCTGTGCTTGAGAAACAAAAGCATCTGAACATCAGGTGGAACGAGAAGGTCAGGTACACCACCAGAGGTTAACTGCAGTTCACCTCTCTGGCTCGGTGCTCACTGGGAAACCTTTTCACTTTTTCTTGGTAGGATGAAGGTCCACACGTTTCTTACAGGGAGTACTCTGGCTTGTTGCAGCACAGGGAGAGAGCAGGGCATGTTTGTGGCTGGCAGCAGGGCTCTACCCCCTGGGTTTTGTTACTTATTTTATTTTTTCCTCCTTGCTAGCCTCTTTGTAACAAAAATATTTTGAAGAAACCTTCTGACTGGAGGTTTGCCTCGGTAACCAGAGGAGTATATGTCCCCCCCTCTTTTGAGGCCTTTTAGATCCTTGCACAAGCTTTGGGGAGGGCAGAAGGACCCCAGCTCTCCCTGGTGAGGGCTCTCTGCTCCCACTCGGGGTTTAGGGGGAAAGAGTGGCTTTTGGTACTTCTTTCTCCAAGCAGAAATGGAGGCAGGTGAGAGGGGTATGGATATGGCGCTCTCGCTGAAATGCGCTTACAGTAAGTACCCAAGATCAATTTTGAGCCTGTTTTCAAGGTAAGAGTGTAGGAATATAGTTTCTAAGACAGTAAATTAGTGCTGCTTTTCCTCTGCTTGGAGTGCAGCAGGATGCTCAAGGCAGCAGAGATTAAGCACTAAACCATGCATTAGTGCTGACAGACAAAAGTCTATAGAATAACTGTGTAGAATAACCAAATAAGAGGATTTTTTTTTGCCCCCATAAGGAATGCAATCTAACTCTTCAAATCGGTTAGGAGAGCAAAGTGTTTGTGTGTGTATGGGATGTTAAAAAACACATACAGTCTGACTCAGTGCAAGTTTGTAGTGCAGTAAAATAGCACTTGGGAAATTATTTCTTTCTAGCTTTAATGTCCATCCAGTACCAGACGAGTGCTGAACTGTTAAAGACTGTTACATCCACGCTTCATGTAAGGTATTTTAGATTACTTTGATGATAATTTGACTGATTTGCATCACTGCATTTTGCCACTGTATTACAGCAAGAAGTGCTGTGATAGTGCCAGCCTCTGTGTCATTATTTAAAGGGAATTGTAAAGGAAAGAAATTATCTGCTCTTCAATATTCCTTGGAGGCAGGGGAGGTTGGCAGAGTGCTAGTATTACAGGAGGTCCAAACCTATTGTAGCAGTAGCATGTGTATGTAATGATGCTGTTAAATTGTCACTACAAGCTACAAAAAAAATCCAAGAGTCATGAGGCCAAATGAAGAATAATTTATACTGTGTATATCACAGCATTCTGTACACTAAAATTTTACTATATTTGGCTTATTGTTGCTTACAGAAATACTGCTGTCTTACTCTTTAGTCCTCTTTTCCTCCCTAAAGTTAAAGAGTAGCTTTAGAAGCATTTTGAGATCTTGCTGATGCTGTTCCTGTAAAAGGAACTCTATGGGGGAAATACCGGTGAATTTACTTTTACCTTCAGGAAAGTAGTCAGATTTTGTTCAGTGTCCAAGCATGCAAGATGTGGAAGCTGAAATATGACATAAAAGTTACAATATTTACTGTTTTAATGTTTACTTCCAATATAATGAACTTACTGGTAAAAAGAAACAATTTATCAAAGGTCTCTGCTGAGCTTTGAAAGCACATGAAGCACCAAAAGTGGAAAAATATCCTTGTTCATGGCTGTTGCTCTCTGTAACCAACAAGTACAAAAGGTCTTTTTTTATTTTTATTTTTTTAAATACAACTTGAAGTCAGAATACACTCTGCTGGGTTGTGATAAATGTTTGCCCTCAGCTTTCCACTCAGACAGAACAGGTGAGGTTCCCCAGGACTGTGAATCAGTCAATCTGTTAAGCCTAAAATACATCTACGAGTATTTTTACTTCATTGTTAGTAATATCAACCAACAAACACTTCATGGGGGACAGCTTCATTCATGATGTGAGTTTCTGTAAAATGTACTCTGCTTTATGTTGTAGAAAAAAAGTTAACATGGTCTGAGACATAGTTAAATTTCTGGACATCTCATGCCCAGAGTTTTAATACCCTTTGGGGATTCGAGTAGTATTTTGCATATGCTATATTAGGCTACAAAGAAGTTATGTTGCTACTGTAAAGTAAATACTCATAGAGGTTTGGTCTTTTACCAATTTTAAGCCACAAAATAAGCTGTAGGAAAAAATGCAGATTTTTTTTTTTTTTTGGAGGTTAACTAATATTTGGACTAAATGCAATAAATACATACTGTTTTACACTTTCCACTATGCTCTTGCACTCCTAATCTTTTAGGTTTATCTTAATTAAATCCAATATTAAACAAAGCCCATCAGTTTCTTTTTCTGGTGCATGGTATGAAGAGAAGCAATGGAACATACAGTTAAAACAAGCGTGTTACAAAGCTGAAGCCTAATTGCGGATTCAAGGGGACCAGAGCAGAGCATCAGCAGGGCTGAGCAACCGTCTCTTCATGGTAGGACAGTTACTGTTGTGCCCTCCTCTGAAGGAGGGCCCGTTAGTGTTATGGTAAAAAATCACTGTTCCATGAAGTTTTAATGTACGGTTTTAGAAAATCTTCCCCAAGTGTAGTGGTTCTGAAATAACATCTGGGTCTATATGTGCAACTCAGGGGTTACATAAACAAATTAATGTTACACCACAGTGACCGTGGTAACATTTAGAAGAGGGAAACCCCATAAATAGCAGAAGAAAAAAATTACTTGCAGTAACTCATTGAACAAATCAGTAGAAAATTGGGTCATTCTCACTTGGTTTACTCTCTCTGCTTTCATATGCCTCATATTCACCGTTTGCTTTAACTGTGCTCCCCTCACACGCAAATCCTCCTCCAAATACCAAGGAAGGAGGGTAATCTTAACACATAGTGTGAGCTAATTTACCACTGCTGGTATAGCCTTTCCAACACAGGTATCTTAGTATTCCTGCCACTGGAATACCTTGGTGCGGTCCAGAGTACTTAAATAAAGTTGCTTTTCGGTGGCGAGGAAGTTTTAGATTTCTGTATGAAAACAGAACAGAGATATTTTTTGCAAGTGTATGGTGCAGTGGCGAAGGACTAAATGCTCTAAAACAAGGCTTGAAATCAATTCAGACCCTCTCCTGTTCCAGCTGTCAGACGGTACAGCTGTCAAGCGGTCCAGCCTGCTCCATCAGGGCAGAGTATTATCCGGACACACGCTGGGGAAGTACTTGTAAGAGTGATGCTGTGTTGATTCAGTTAAGTCAAGTCCCCCAAAAGCCCAAAATAATTCACACCAAAAAAAAACCCCTGCGTGTTACTCGGGCGGCTGCAGAAGTCATCGCTAGCTGAAAGGAAGCAAGAGGAATGGCTAAAACCAGCTGGAATGATTGACTCTAGTGAGGCTGGAGATCTACCCAAGCAGTGAAAATCCTAGCTGCATCCGTGCAGGGAGGAGGCAGGAGAAAAGGCCAAGTCTGCAAACAAGGCTTGTCCGCCTCAGGGTTTGGTTTCCACCTCTACTCAGCGTGGTCCTGTGGTGTCCCTTAAAGACGCCTGAGGCTTTGGTAGTGCCTGAGGGATGCTGCTGCGAGCAGGGCTGTTGCCTGGGGCAGGGGTGGGGAGGGCAGCAGCCCCCCTGGGAGCCCTGACAACTCTGGGCTCTGCTCAAGGGTTTCCCTGCACAGGGGAATTCCCCGGCCGGGCTGCCACACAGCTCTGCAAAGCACCCTCTGCAATGTCCCTGCAGCCTAAGAGTCAGCCCCGGATTTCTCCATATAAAGGCCCAAGGATCAGTGTCTTTTTAGCACGTCATGACAGGGGTGTCCAGGTGTCGGGGAGCATGGTTTTGCCATCAGCCCCTTGTGCACCCTTCCTCAAGTCTCATGCAAATGTGTTTTCTGAGCTCTTCCTTTTGGCACATCTCAGAGGTCTTGGCCTGTCACCTCAAGACGTTCCAAAACTGGAGCGAGTTTCAAAGCGCTTCCCAGCAGCATGGGCTTCACTGAAAACCCAAAATGTCACTCCGGTTTTCTGGGCTCTCAGGCCGGTGAGGGAAAAAAAGTGCTGTTGGAGGCAGTCTGGGTTTGATGACAGCGTGATCCTTCCTGTCTTTGTGGCTCAACTCATTTTCTTCCTTTTTCTCAAGGTTGCGCTGCAACCTTCTTGTGAAACCCCTGTGGTTTATTAGAGGAATGCAATGGCATCACCAGAGCTTTAGCAATGCGTAAACATAACAGGGTCACAGTGTGCCTCTGGTGTAGTGGGAGTAATGAAATACCTTTCCCCAGTCTTTAGCCTAAAATTGTGGCCAAAGAATGGGTATCAGAGAGGATGTTCCTCTGCATAGTTATTGCAGGTTGATGCAGGTTGAATAAATACATTCATCCTATCAGTGCACCGCTACCTAGAGCTCTGGGGGTTCTTCACATTGTCACAGTGTCAGACACAGCAATGGTGACAGTGGCAAGAGCTTTTGTGAAAGGTGGTATTATGATCTGACAGCAAAACCCATCCTAAGGTACTCATTAAATTGTTCTAGGCGCCAGGACAGCCTATGATTATGTCAAACGGGAGCAAATTGTACGCTCCGCTTTCCTGGTATACGCGAACTTAATCTAAAACTCTGCCTAGCAAGGTTAAACATGGACAGCTTTGCTCACGAGAACTCCAAACCGGCAGAGCCCATCGCCCCAGAGGGTCGCTGGGGGGGGCTGCCCAGGCCAAACGTCCATGCTGGTGTGGGGATGATTTCCGTGGATGCAGGTTGCAGCTGGGCTTATCCAAGGGGTTCCCTCA